CAAAACAAACAGAAAACTCAACATATTCAGACTGAACTTCTCCTTTTCTCACCCAAATCTCTTCCTTCAATCATCTCAACCTCAGTGATTGCTGCCTCCATTTTTCCGGCTGCTCAGTGCAGAAATCTAGGAGTCATCCTTGACCCCTTTGTGTCCCTCACACCACACTCCCAATCCATTAGGAATTCTCAGTAGCCTTATCTTCAGAATTCACCCAGAATCCGATCAAGCCCCACCCTCATGCCATCCTGGTTCCAGCCACCATCATCTCATGCCTGAAATGTTTCACCAGCCCCTTTTCTAACTTCCCTGACACACACAGTCTCTCTGTGCAGAGCAGCCAGAGGGATCCTGTGAAAATGAAAGTTGCATCAGGTTCCTCTTCTGCCCAAATGTCTCCATATGCACACAGTGTCCTGTGTGTGCAGACGTGATGTACACACACGCTGACTTGCCCAAACTCATTTCCTGCTTGTTGGACCTGCCTCCTTCTGTCTGATCACACGGACTTCCTTGCTGCTCTTTCATTCGCTGGTTAGCCTCCTGTGTCAGATTGTTTTCACCTTCTGTTCCCTCTGCCTGGAGGGCTCTTGGATCACACAGTCAAAGTGAAAATTCTTGAGCCTCCTTCATGCCTTTGCTCAATCATCACTAACAAAACCACAATCCAACCTACCGAATGGGAGAGTATCTGCAAATGATGAAACAGATAAGGGTTAACATCCAGAATATATAAAGAACTCCCACAAATCAACAATAACCACAAAAATAAACCTCTTAACAAATGAGCACAGAACTGGGATTAGACATTTCCCCAAAGAATATATACAAATGGCCAATAAGCATATGGAAAGATGCTTAACGTCACTAATCATCAGAGAAGTGCAAATCAAAACTACAAGGAGATATCGCCTCACAGCCATTAGAATGACCACCAAAAAAAAAAAAAAAAAAAACACGTGTTGGTGAGGATGCAGAAAAATTTGAACCCTTGTGCACTGTTCCTGGGAATGCAAAATGGTGCAGCCACTCCGGAAAACAGTATGGAGGTTTCTCAAAATATTAAAAATGGAATTGCCATATGATCCAGCAATTCCACTTAGGAGTATTTATCCAAATGAACACAAAGCAGAATTTCCAAGAGATATTTGCACACTCATGGTCCCTGCAGCATTATTCACGGTAGCCAAGAAGTGGAAGCAACTCAAATATCCAGTGACAGATGGATGGATAAAGAAAATGTGGTGTGTACATAGATTGGGATATTATTCAGCCTTTACAATGAAGGAAATCCTGTCACACACTACAACATAGATGAACCTTGAGGACAGTATGCTAAGTGAAATAAACCAGTCACAAAAAGACAAATACTGCATGATTCCACTAATATGGGGTGTCTAGTGTAGTCAAGCCCATGGAGACAGAAAGTAGAACGGCGTTTGCAGGGGCTGGGGTGGCGAGGGAAGTGGGTAGTCAACGGGTACAGAGTTTCAGTTTTGCAAGATGGAAATGTTCTAGAGATCTGTTGCACAACTGTGCACTTAAGAATCATTATGATGGTAAATTTGTTATGAAATTTTCACTACAAGAAATAAATAAATCCCAAGAGCACTCCACAAGTCATCTCCCCAACTCTCACTCTTCTCTGTACCCTGCATTTTCCCCAAAGCACACTTCTCCCTTGAACATTCTATTCAATTATTTGTTCTTTGATTTTTTTTTTTACTAGGTGAATATTACTCTCTGTGTAGAAAACAACTACACTGAGCCAAGATTATAGATATTTTTCATGATGGGTCTCTGTCACCTACACTGCTCGTCACTCATTAGGTGCTCAATACCATTACCTGGAGGAAATGATGAATGAAAAGATGCATGTTATCCTGCTGTAAAAATCTTTCAAAGGTGTCACATTCTGAATGCAATAAATAAGTGAAAAGTGTGACATGTCCATCAGTGCATGGAGAATGAACAGGAATGAATGAGTGGAAATGGGGAGTGAAGAGCGTTAGAGGAGGAACAGCCCATGCAGATACCCAGTGGCACAAGTAACCTTGTTCTGATTGATGACAATGAAAAGTCCAAGTTGGATGGAGTATGAGTGGGAGGAGGGGGGAGTGGAGGAAGTGGACTGGAGAGTGGGGCTGCAGTCAGGGTGAGGCCAGTGAGGCATTTGCCCAAACGCATATTTAAAAGGGGAGATGAAAACCTCTTTAATTGAGATAAATAATATTCCCGTGCAAGATTTTTTAAATCAATTAAATGCAAAAAAAAAAAAAAAACACCATGGAGAAAGGAAAATGAAAAATTGAAATAACCCAGGATTAGTAAGAATGCCTTTCTGAACCTACTGGAGCCTGAGACAGAGGAAATATGTGTCCCTCTCTACATAGGTTTTTAAGGATTTTAGTGGTCAATTTTTTCCAGAACATTAAACTAATTGAAATGTTATTGAAAACCTGAAATGCATAGTGTATTTGAACATTAAGTTTAAAGGTTTTATGGCTCCCCAAACCAGAATTTGTTATAATTTTGGTTTCCTGGCCTTACTGGAAACAAATGCAGAGAGAATATTTTCAAAATCTGCTTCTCTGACTCTCTCGTTTTCAGCTGAGAACACTGCCATGTGTGACAATTTCTCTTGACCAAGTTATGATCTTAAATTATTATTAACTAACTTCAGTCTACTGATCCTACCATTCTTCAGATTTTTCATATTTTGCTCCTCACGAAATTTTTTCATTAATTTTGATTTTTTATAAAATGTGCATTGAAGAATTATCTCGATTGCTGAGATTTTTGGCACCTTTCTAAGTTTTGCACTTGAAGCGAGTGCCTCACCCTCCTCACCCTAACCCTGGCCCTTCTGGAGAGCTTGGTGCTGAGAGGCCAGAATATGCAGGGCTGCAGGCTGAGGAGTGTGAGCTTCATTCTCTAGGTCAGGGGTCAGCAAACTACAGCCCATGAGTCAAATCCGGCCCCATACCTGTGTTTCTAATAAAGTTTTACGGGAACACAGCCACGCTCATTCATTTACATGTGGTCTGAGGCTGCTTTCACGCTGCAAGACCAAAGTTTTGTGGCTGCAACACAGATTGTATGGCCCACAAAGCCAAAAACATTTACTCTCTGGCCCTTGAAAGAAAAACTCTGCCGGCCTCTGCTCTAGGAGATGGGGGCAAACAGATGTTCAAATACAGAGGAACTGCACAATGATGATTTTTAGATGATCACTCTGTGTAGAGCAAGGGAGATGAGGGGCAGGGAGATGAGGGGTCCAGGAAAGAGATCCTGAAGCCTCAGCAATGACAGGGGTCAAAAAGGAGGGAGGGAGACTGATGCTACCTGTTCTTAAGGGGAAACACGGAAAAGACGGGGTGAGTTTTTGGCTGTAGCAGAGGAAAGGAAGGACAGAGAGATGGTGACTCCTCTGGTCCTAGCCTGAAGGAAAGAGGAGGGGCTGTCCTGCTGTCAGTGAGATGAGGATCTGACCCTGGGGGAGGAGGAGGAGATGAGGAGAACAACTTTGGCCATGATGAACAGAGCAATTCAGGGACACATCCTGGCAGAGGCGTCCAGGCAAGATGCTGGATGGCGAGATACACAGATCACTCACTGAGAGACTTACCTTGTGACTGCATTAGCACCCTCCATGCTTGTATCCTCCATGCCCACTGCTGGCCTTGCTGCTTTCTTCCTGCGGGACCTCACTCTGAGGGAAGAGACCAGAGAGCCTTTCAGTCTGGCCAGCTCAGGGTGCAGTGGGCAGACTGACCCCTCTTCTACTCTCTCCTAAGGGGCTGGAGGGGAGACTGAGATGGGAGAGGGATGGTCACGTCCCAGAGCCCCCAGGGTTGAGAACAGGCTCCCCCTTCCCGGACAGTGGGGCCTGGTGTTTGTGACAGACTCATCTGGGTGCCAGGGACCTCCTTCCTGCCCTTGCTTCAGGCTCTGGACCCACCCAGTCCCCCAGCTGTGGCTTCAAGGATCCCTCGCTGCCTGCCCTTCCCACCCCAGGACTCTCCCTCCCTCCCCAGGTCCCTGCTCACATGATGACGATGATGCAGAAGGACAGAAAGAGCAGAGTCTTAGCACCTGCTCCCCAGACTGCACCCAGCGCCACTCCTGATAAAGGACACGCTTTTCCTGCAGAGGATTGGATTATTGGTGGTTCTCCTCCGAGAGCTCAATTTCTTCTCCTCCCACTCCCCATAGGACCCCACACTTCTGTGTGCAGTCCACTTTACCAGATAGAGAAACAGGGACATGGGGATGGGTGTACGGAGTGGGGGCGTTTAGGGTGAGGAGAGTGAGGCATACAAGTGCTGGGTTGCAGCCTCTCTTTATTTAACGTATTGATATTTTGTTCTTCATGGCATTTATGTTTATTTTTTAAAAAATATTGCATGTCAGTATTATTTTTTTTGATCACTAAGATTTTTTGGCTGATCTTTAAATTTTGTGGCCATGGTAAGTCCTACACTCGCCTGAGCCTCCTCCCAGCCCCAGAAAGCAAGGACCTTATGTCCCCAGACACACCAGTCCAGGCCCCAGCCCCTCTCCTCCAAGACCCACCTCCTTCCCTGGCTCCCCCTCCAGCCCTCAACCCACCCCACAGCCCTGGCCTGGCAGCCAGAGGATAGTGACCCTCTGAGTCCCAGGGAATTTCCAGGCCTCACCACCCAGCACCGAGCAGAGCTGAGCTCCCCTCTGAAGCTCAGGGGTCTGCTGGGTGGACTGTGGGGTGGGGTGGGTGCTCTCCTCCTCCTCCAGCCCCTCCCCCATCTACCGGTGCACTCACTCTGCAGAGAGAGGCTCAGGGATACATGCAGGGAGCCCCGAGTGTGCTCAGCTTGGCAGGTGAATTCACCTTCATGCCCTGACTCCACCTGGGGAAGCTCCAGGACCCCACCGTTTGAGGGCTGTGAGGGACTCAGGATCCAGCTCCCATGGGCCCAGGTCAGCCTGGCTGGGGGATTGCTGTCGACAACACAGACCAGGCGCAGGGACTGGCCCTCTATGACTGAAAGAGATGAGCCGTTCTTCAGGACTGTGGGTGCTGGAGAACAAGAGACTGAGGGTCAGAGAGGCAAAAAGATGGAGAGAAAAAAATGGACACAGAAGGAGACCTGATGAAGAGGACAGATGCAGATGCAATTTGAAGTGCAGGAAAACTCACACTGTCACCCCTCGGTGGTGGGAATGTACACTTGTCCACCCTCCATGCAAAGCAACTTGACCATATCTCTCAAAATTACAAAGAGCGTAGGAAGCAGCCTTATTTTGCTTTTAGGAAGTTACCCCACAGACACACACACACGTGTCAAAGGAGACACAAGTGTAGTCGTTTCAGTGTTTCTGTTAGTAGAAGAAAACAAATGCCATGATTTTTCCATTAACAGAAGATGCACGGAAATCAGAATCCAGCCAGGCCGTGGAATACGGCTCAGTCACGGGGAAAAATGGGGACAGTCTCTACTACTGACGTCAAATGACCCGTAAGATCATTTAGGTGAAGAAACCAAGGCCCAGAACAGCCTGTGGACACTGGTCACTTCCTGGGAGGGGACTGGGCATCTGAGGACAGACTCTGCTGTGCATTGTGAATTTTAGACCATGTGAATATATTACCTGTTCAAAAATACTTAAACAGTTATTAGGGAAAATAAAAAGATGAGACTGGAGGAGTCTTCAGGAGATGGGTCACAAGGAGCCTCAAGAGATGGGCTCTGCTGTGTGAATTTTGCCCTGTTCTCCTTGTGGAGCTGAGAAGGCGGTTGGAGAACTCTGAGGGGGGTGACGGGGCCGATGGGGACAGAAGCTCACAGCTCCTTCCTACCTGTGCTGTTTCCTTGGAAGACAGTGACGGTCAAGTTCTGTGGAGAGTCTGGCACAGAAAGACAAGGTGGCCCCGCATCAGTGGTGAGGGCTGGGTGGACATGGGTCCTTGTCCCCAGGAGCTGCATAAATGGGGGAAGGGTGGAGGCAGGAGTCCTCCTGACCTGCTCCCAGTGTGGCTTCTGGGGCCCCCCCGCCAGTGTCTGAGACCCTGACACCCCCATCCCCACTGCCCTCAGTACGTCATCAGGGACCCGGGCATCCTTGCCCAGCACTCACAGGTGACATTGAGCTGGATGGTCCTTTCCACAGTTAGACCAGTTGTGGGGAACGTCACCTGACACGTGAGTATGGCGCCGTGGTCCTGGGGCCGTGGAGTGAGGGTGAGAACAGAGGAGAAGCGGGTCCTGGGGCCTGGGGAGGTGAGGGCAGCCGACATCCAGGAGAAGATGGGGGGCGTGCCCTGTTCACAGGCCCAGGGCACAGAGCACGTCAGGTTCCTGGGCTGGCTTGACTCCAGGGTCTCCGGGATGAAGATATCAGGTGTGTGGGTCAGGGCTGGTGAGGAGATGGGGAGACACAGGGATCAGGAAGGAGAGTCTGAGTAGCAGCCCTGAGAGAAGCCTCAGGCTTTGTTCCAGCTCTTCCCTTGGACTCCTGACCTGTTTTACACCCAAACCCCTCCCAGGATGGAAAGTCCCCTCCCTGCTCTGCCCTGGGACCCCCATGTCCTTCCCCTGTGGCGATTCCTGCAGCCAGCGCCTTACCCGTCACATGCACAGAGAGCTGGTTACTTGTGTAAGAATATCTCACACTTCCTGTCTCCACTCGAAAATAGTATTTTCCGTCATCTGTCCTCCTGGCGTCTCTGATGTCCAGGGAGCACTTGTATCTCTGGGGGTCCCCAAGGAGACGGAATCTGCCCCGGGTCTCCTCCTCCACTTCTCGATATGGGCTGTTTGTGGCCACAGGAGCATCCTCGTCAACTCTGGCCCCTTCCCGGAACCAGTAGCCATGAGCTGGGGTAGAGCTGCTCCAGCGACTCCAAGGGTAGGAGAAGGAGCAGGGCACAAACACACACAGGCCCTCCTGCACCGTCACTGACTCCTGCACTTGCAGCTGGTAACCCTCTTCCAGCTCTCCCCATCCCTCGGCCCCTTCCCTCCACCACAGCAGGGCCATCAGCAGCAGCAGCAGCAGCATGTCTGGTGTTGGCAGTGCCAGGTTCCCCAAGAAAATCTGTTTCCTGGGGTTCTTTCTCAGGAACTAAAAGTTGCAGACTTAGAGGAGACTTTAACAGGAAGATGAGGGTGAGGTCAGAACAGTTACCCTCCTCAGAGGAGGAACTTCACACCCAGACAGTATCAGGGCCGACACAGCCCATGGAGTCAACCATCCACCAACCACGTCCACTCCTGGGGATCTCGGGCCAGGGAAGGTGAGAGGCTCACCCACATTCACAGCCCATGCAGGGCCTGAGCCCCGTCTGCTGCCTCGCTGTCAATGTCTTTTCCCTCAGGGATCATTTTCTGCCAAGTGAAAATGAATCCCTTCTGCCAGACCCCCTGAGTCTGTCTGTGGAGGCTGGTCCAGCGCGGGGTGGGACTCAGGGAACCAAGATATGAGGGAGGCCAACTGACCTCCCTCCCTCAGCATCACCATGGTGGGCATCCCCTCTCTGCTCACGAGGTCACACACCAGCCCTGGACACAGCCCTCAGTCACTGTCCAGTGGGGAGACAACAAGTGTCCAGGCAGCTGAAACTCCCTGTTACAGGGGATGCGATGGGGGACACACAGGCAGTGTACGGTGTCGACAACCCTCAAAGTTGGAGGTGGTGTCTCAGGAGGCCTGGGCGGGGGGGACACTCAGGCGGTGAAGGCCAGGATTCTGTGTCTTAACACAGCTAAGGATGTCGAGGGGAGCCCAGACAGGACAGTGGGAAACCGAGGCTGTGATTCTCTGTAGAGTGGGGTTTGGTAGGGAAGAAAGTGCAGGAGGGAAGAGGCAGATTTCGAAAGGGATAGAAACTTCCCCCTTTATAGAGGCAGTATGGGTGCCAGAACGGATTTCTTCATCACTAATGTCTCAAGGGGCCGTGCTCCTCCTCATTGCTCCAGAGCATGGCAAGATCTGCCCACCTCTGAGTCTTTGCCTAAACAAGCTCTGCTCTCAGAATCTGGGTGTGTGGCTGTCTTGACATGAGTACAGCCATGTTTGGCCGCTCCATTGACCTACAGCCACCAGCACACAAAGAAATACAAAGCTGCTTTCTGTGTGGTGGGAACTGGCCTTTTCCCGGGAACTGGCCTTTTTCCCACGGAGGGAGTTGCAAGTTGTAACAGTTCAAGGATCTTGGAGCGTCGTAGCACGGGATGGACTGGCCATCTGTGCCGGGCTAAGACGATAACCAAAGAAAACAATGCACGTACACAACTACTGGGCTGGGATGTTAGCCAAGGGGCTCAGTGCACGTACGCCACTGATAACCATTTGTGCATGGGAACACTGGATGCTTGCTCTGTAAACTCTATAACTGCTCATATAAACTGCTGGAGACTGAGACCTGGTGAGAGTTCCACCTGCGGAAGGGACACCTTGTCCAGGACGTGTGATCCTTGCCCAGCCGCGTCGATTGACAGGGCTCTCCCAACAGTGGGGAGTGGATATTATAAATAACTAATTTGATATGAGTAATTGATTTACTATAAAGTAACTGATTTAATATATTCTCTTTTCGGTCAACCTGGTGTTTCTCTTTCCGGTTGATTTGTGTCATTTCCCTTCAGCCAATCTGATGTTTCCCTTTCCGATCGATCTGATGTTTTTCCCTCTTATTATATGACCTATTCGGATCTGCTGCTATCTCAGCCAATGTGGATATTTTCCCTTTCCAGTCAAGCTGGTGTTTTTTCCCTCTTATTATTTGACCTATTCGGATCTGTTTACGGACTATCGCCTTTACTATCCTCTATATAATAAAATATACCTTCAGTCCATTTATTTGTAGTAAAAAATGTCTTTTACATCTCCTATCAAATCCCCAAACCTCTCATAACAGTGGCAGACACAGAGCAAGGAATGCCAGCCTGGGGGTCGTCCACCTTCAAGGATGATGAAGATTTCATGAGAGAAGAAGCATGCACCTGAATTCATAGAAGGTTAGTTTTAACAGTGTGGTGGGGGCTGGGAGGAAGTGATGGCAATCCTGGGAGGTGGTGACTGTCCAACGCAAGTCAGTTTTCTGGAAAGGTTTTTTTGAGAAATGTAAGGCACATACAAATAAGTGCCCCCACAAGAACAGCTCAATCACTCATCAAAAAAGGAACACCTGGGGCTGGCCCCGTGGCATAGTGGTTAAGTGCTGATGCAAGGATCGCAGGAGCGCACTGATGCACTGCTTGTCAGGGCATGCTGTGGCCACTTCCCATATAAAGTAGAGGAAGATGGGTATGCATGTTAGCCCAGGGCCAGTCTTCCCCAGCAAAAAAAGAAAAAAAAGAGGAGGATTGGCATCGATGTTAGCTCAGGGCTGATCTTCCTCACACACACAAAAAAAATGAACACCCTCCAAGAAGTAGAAGGTTAGGAGCACCCAGGACCTCCCCCCTAGATCCCCTTGCCCATCACCACACCCCACTCCCTCCCAGGGAGCCCCAGCCTCACTGTAATGTCATTTATTTCCTTGCTTAGCTCTGTGGTTTATCATCTGAACATGCTGCCTTTAACACCATGGCTTTGCACGTGTTTATCTTAAGATTTTGTATACATAGAAAAATTACAATCTTTCTTCTATTTGACTTCATGAAGCTGTCCATCCCATTTTATCCCCTTCCCAGAAGTGTCACCCAAAACCTGGAGTAGAGTCAGTGCTGTGATCACGGAGAAGGAAGGTGCGGGGTTGGAGCCAGCATAGACACTCCCACACCATCACCATTTCCTGCATTTTCAGTTGGAATCTCATCCTGCAGACCCCTCCCCGTCCTGGGCCCCTGTGCTGGCCACTCACTCTCTCCCTGCAGGGGCAGCTGCAGCACCTGTGCTCAGAAGGGCGTGGCCACGCCGATCCTGTTCCCATTGTTCGCAATTTGCAAAGAAAAGCAGAAGAACGGGAAGGAGAGACATAGGGAAAAAACTGTGTGCAAAAGAGGAAGTATAACCCACGGGCCATCAGAGCTGAGGGGCCGTCTAGCTTTACTTCTCCATTTTGCAGGAGAAAACACCGAATTCCAGAGTAAGCAAGTCAATTGCCCAAATCACCCAGGTGCTCTGTCTCATGCACTATTCTCTGCACCTTGAGCCACTTCATCAATCTTTGTCAGCCCAGTTTCCTTGGATGAGAGGCAGGAAGTTTAAGTTAATCTGGAAGAGAAGAATTTTCAACTCAACCCAAGAGGGGAGGGAGGAGATTTAATTCATTTGTTCATTTATTCATTCAACAGTCATGTAAATCATGCCTTCACATTGCTAGTAAGAGGGGTGAATATGACAGGTCTAGCCCTTGCTTTGAGCAGAGCACCATCTGGTAGGCAGACAGGTTACCTGATAAATCCAGAGCCATAGGCTAGGTAGCTGTGATGGGGAAGCACACATGGGGTGGGTGGAGCTCTTGATCTTCTGGACTTCTGCCCAGGACTTACCTGGCTCCTGGGGATTCCTTAGGAGAGGGCAATGGTGCTGTCCGTGGTGCTGATTCAGAGCTGACTTTGGAGATGTCTGCGGCTCTGTGGAGGGGCCTGCTCACACAGCACAGGAGGGTGCTTATACCCCTCCTTATATCTGGAGTCAGGAGGGTCAAGACATGAGATGTGCTGGGGAGGACTCAGGTCTACCTGGGAGAAGGGACTAGACAGGGGGAAATTCCTCTGTTTCTCCTCCTTTTCCTTCTGTCCACCCTCAGGAATGTCCTATGAACAACGTCAGGCTGTGGTCACCGGTCCAAGGGCAGGGAAGGTGAAGGTTTTGTCCCGCACTTTGGCATATCTCTTCCCATTTCATTTTCCCAACATCCCTAACAGAGAGGAATGTTCCTCTCATTAAGTGGAGATGGCAGCTTAAATTCAGACAGGTGAGTAGCTGTAGCAACTAGTCACCAAAGACAACCCCAAACAATCCAGACCCTCCTTTATACAAACATGACGCTCCTCTACTTATAAGATGGGTTGGTTATTATTATCTCCTCTTCTTGAACCTGGACGGGGCCCATGACCGCTTTGACCAAGAGAATGTGGAGGACAACATGTTCTGAGACTCGTATGGCTCAGACATTAAGAAAGCCTGGCAGGTTCCACTCCCGCCTCATGGATTTCTGGACATCTGTGTAAGCAACCACGGGGACTCTGATGGAGAGAGATGCTACATAGAGGAACACTCAGGGGTAAGATGTCCAGCCCCAGTCACTGCCACCAACACAATGCGACTGCCTGAAAGAGTCCAAGGCAAATCTAGGGGTGAAACTGCCCAGCTGGGCTCTGTTGAATTTACAGAACAATGAGAATAAATAATAAAAAATAGAATAAAATTATTGCTTGAGACACTGTGTTTTAGGCTGATTTGATGTGCGGGGCGAGATAACTAAACAGCAGCCAGGTAAATCATAGCTAATAAGGAAAAGGTTAAGTTGAAGGTTTACTCACCTGATGGATTTTTCCATTTACTATGTTTAAAGGATGACTTTTAAACGGTTATTTGAAAGCTTCAGTGAACATACCCGTGGAGGCTTTGCCAAGCTGGAACTACTTTTCCCATCATCCCCTTCCCTCTTTGCTTCCAGGTTAAAGTTGGCCACAAGAGAAGGGAGAAGTTGAAGCTGCAGCCACCGGGCTCTGAGGGTCAGTGGAGGCGGAGGTGCTAGGAAGCCCTTGCACATCATCACTGATGTTTGGCTCACCCTGCTGGTGTGACGTAACAGCTGCTCAACTGCTGGGAGGCAGGGAGGGGTAGCGGAAAGGCACTGGCTGGATTTCGGAGGACAAGGAGCACCAAGCCTCAGTACATGGATTGGTGACCCAGGTGGACACAGGTGGCCCAGAGAGTCATTTACAGTGACGGGCAAAGGATCAAGTACAAGAGCATCATTAGTATTTTTCTCCTACTAAGACATTGTCCCAGGTTCTCTTTGACCTGACAACTAGGGCCATTTGCCTATTCATAGGAGCCCCATCTTCCCAAGGGCAAAGGGCAGGAAATGGCCCATCTCAGTG